TGCTGCAAAGAACATGATTTTATTTTTTATGGCCATGTAGTATTCCATGGTGTATATGTACCATTAACACATTTTCTTTATCCAATCCACCAGTGATGGGCACCTGCATTGATTCCATGTCTTTGCTATTGTGAATAGTGCTTGCAATAAACATGAGTGCAAATATCTTTTTTTTTTTTTTTTTTTTGAGATGGAGTCTCACTCTGTTGCCCAGGCTGGAGTGCAGTGGCTGGATCTCAGCTCACTGCAAGCTCCACCTCCCGGGTTTACGCCATTCTCCTGCCTCAGCCTCCTGAGTAGCTGGGACTACAGGTGCCCGCTACCTCACCCGGCTAGTTTTTTGTACTTTTTTTTTAGTAGAGACGGGGTTTCACCATGTTAGCCAGGATGGTCTCGATCTCCTGACTTCATGATCCGCCCGTCTCAGCCTCCCAACGTGCTGGGATTACAGGCTTGAGCCACCACGCCCGGCCATAGTGCAAATATCTTTTGGATAGAACAATTTATTTTCTTTTGGGTATATACCTAATAATGGGATTGGTGTAGTTCTATTTTTGGAGAAATCTCCAAACTGCTTTCCTCAGGGGCGGAACTAGTTTACATTCCCATCAACAGTGTATAAGCATTCCCTTTTCTCTGCAACCCTGCCAACATCTGTTATTTTTTGACTTATTAATAATAGCCATTCTGACTGGTATGATTGCATCCCATGATGATTAATGATGTTGGGCATTTTAAAAATGTTTGCTGTCCATTTGTATGTTTTCTTTTGAGAAGTGTCTGTTCATGTCCTTTGCCTACTTTTCAATGGGGTTATTATTTTTTTTTCTTGTTGATTTAAGTTCCTTATAGATTCTGGATATTAGACATTTGTCAAATGCACTGTTTCAAGTATTTTTCCCATTCCGTAGGCTGTCTGTTTCCTCTGTTGATAGCTTCTTTTGCTATGCAGAAACTCTTTAGTTTAATTAGGTCCCAATTGTCAATTTTTGTTTTGATTACATTTGCTTTTTTTTCCCCCTGTTCTGAGACAGGGTCTCATTCTGTTGCCCAGGTCTATGATCCATTTGGGGTTAACTTTTATGTATGGTGAGGTAAGGGTTGAAGTTTATTCATTTATTTACTTTTGCATATGGCTATTGAATTGTTCTAGCACATTTTGTTAAAAAGACAATCATTTCTCCACCTACTTGCTTTTTTACCTTTGTCAAAAATCAAATGACCTCATATGTGTGCATCTATTTCTGGACAATGTGTTCTATTTCATTGATCTGTATGTTGATCTCATCAGATTGTAAAGTCTTTGAGATATGGGGCTTATAGTAGTTTCAGATCTCCATTGCCTAGCATGGTGTTTCCTTCATCTATATGGATGTTCGATTAATATTATTTGAATGACTGAGTGAGCCAATAAAGACGCACAGAAAGTGAGGAAAAACATTCAACTTTCTGGAACACTAAAGGTCCAAGGGGTGTTCAAGAGTCACCTAACAGGCAAGGGCAAGATCAAACTATGAAAGCCACTCTGAAGGATAACTGACATATTTAGACTTTCAGAACCTGGTTCCTTGAGTTCAAGAGCTGAGTAGAAAGCTTTTGGTAAGCCAAAAAATGTCCCATTTTGACATTACCTGCCACCTATTGGTAATCTGCAATTGTCCTTGACAAAGAAATAACTTCCAGAATTTCTGATATTTTAACTCCATCCATTATAAATATATAATTTTGATTCATCTTAGCTACTTAACAGGAGGTCCTGGTTGAGAGGACTTTTGAAAGTTACTCCCACAATTTCCTATTACTGTCTAACACAAACTCTGCCTAGCCACCATCTCTTGGACGCCCCCAAACATGCCATACTTGTTCCTAATTCCCAACCTTTGTTCTTGTTCTTCTTTCCAGTGTGCCCTTTGTTCTCTGCCATTCTAAATCTGGGTCCAATCCCAGCACTTTGACAAAGACTTCTTTAGTTTTTCAGGCCCACACCTTTCTCCTTCTGACCTCTGTCTGCATGATTTAACTAATTACATAATCAGATAATCTGGTCTACTCATGTTATTACTTAACAGCTTTATGTATTTTATATGCCTTGTCTTCTTAATGATACTAGAAATGACTGAAAGATAGGATTCTAGGAATGGGAGTTACATTTTGTCCTCCATAATACTTAGCACGTGAAATGGTTCCCATAGAAGTTATTTACCTCTTGTTTAATTGAATTTAATAAAAATCACCCATTGGATAAATGCCTTTGAGAGTCAGTTAGACATCATTCTTTTAACACTACCATTCTAGTTAAAGGAATTATGTAGCTGATGGAAACATAGCCTTTTCTGTACCTCATGACTGATGCCTTTTTTTTCTTTTTTTGAGATGGAGTCTTGCTCTGTTGCCCAGGCTGGAGTGAAGTGGTACAGTCTCCGCTCACTACAGCCTCTGTCTCCTGGGTTCAAGCAATTCTCCTGCCTCAGCCTCCCAAGTATGTGGGACTACAGGCACCTGCCACCATGCCCAGGTAATTTTTATATTTTTTAGTAGAGATGGGGTTTCATCATGTTGGCCAGACTGGTCTCGAACTCCTGACCTCAGGTGATCCTCCTGTCTTGGCCTCCCAAAGTGATGGGATTATAGGCATGAGCCACGGTGCCCAGCCTGTTTCCTACTTTTGAAAAGAACCCTATATATGTCACCAGGTTGCCTCTCCACGCAACTTTGATAAAAATTTTTAATTGGGAAATTATAGAAGAGGATAATTACATATTAAGTTTTCAATATAGGTCACATTGATAAGGCAGAGACAAACCTGGAATCTGTCATTTAAAGGGATTTAGTTTCAGTGAGACTTTTCATGCCACCTTGAATATACTCCTATTTCTTTATCTATTGTAAATCTAATGTTTGTTAGCTCCGAACTGCATGGATTTCAGGCTTGTTTAATTATTCTGAAAGGCCAAAATTAGTATATTAGTCCCATTGCCACTGAACTCTAAGACGGTTCTATAGAGAACTGATTATAAGAATATGTACAGTAGGTAGAAGCCAAACTGTGTTGAACTAGGGCACAGATCCAGTTGTTTCTACTTGAGCATACAAGTTGAATTAGCAGTTATTTTCATTTAATATATATATAATATAAACTTTCCTAGTTCTAAAATGATGACAATTTTCACTCCCTTTTATCCTTTTCCCCAATCTCATTCTCCTCCCCTCACATGCAATCATTCTAATGCAGCTATGTGACTGAATGTGTTCTATGTGTACTGTGTTTTGCATGTGTTATAGCATTATATATCTAATTTTATGTATTTTTCCTACACAGCACTATGTTTTAAGATCCATCCACTTGCTTTCTGGGAACATCTTGTTTACTGCTTCTAACTACTGTATATTAATCAAAATGTACCTTCACTACATTTTGCTTATCCATTCTTTCAATGATGGGAACCTCCAACTCCTTACCCACAAATAATAATGCATTTTTTAATAAAAAAGCACTGTGCAAGAGAAGCAATACATGTGGACAGGTTGAATTTAGCCTCAGACTACACATTTATTTATAACCTCTAATGTAGACAAACTTCTTGCTCAATACCTGAAATTTCTTTTTCTGTTTTTTTTTTTTGTTTTTTTTTTTTTTGAGACGGAGTCTCGCTCTGTTGCCCAGGCTGGAGTGCAGTGGCATGATCTTGGCTCACTGCAACCTCCACTTCCCAGGTTCAAACAATTCTCCTGCCTCAGCCTCCTGAGTAGCTGGGACTACAGGCGCCCACCACCACGCCCAGCTAATTTTTTGTATTTTTAGTAGAGACGGAGTTTCACCATGTTAGTGAGAATGGTCTCGATCTCCTGACCTCATGATCCACCCACCTCGGCCTCCCAAAGTGCTGGGATTACAGGAGTGAGCCACCGTGCCCAGCCCCAATACCTGAAATTTCTTATATCCTAATTCCCAAAAAATATAGTAAAAAGAAAAAAAATCAATGAACACATTTACAGAATTCTGTCAGCCACCCAAACATGAGAGTTGTCAGTCATTACATGTGACCAAGATGACTTTATTCTAAGAGAAATGTAAAAACTACTAGAACAATAACTAAAGCAAGCCTACTCATCCCAGGAACTAGTGAACAGCAGATATCTGCTGCCATTTTGTTGCACTGCCACTCTCAAACATGGTAGGTAATTTTTTTTCTTTTTCTTGAGATAGGGTCCCACTCTGTTGCCCAGGCTGAAGTGCAGCAGCACAATCACAGCTCACCGCAGCCTCGACCTCCCAGGCTCAGATGATCCTACCACCTCAGCCTCCCAAGTAGCTGGGAATACAGGTGTGTGGCACCAAGCACGGCTAATTTTTGTATTTTTTGTAGAGATGGGGTTTCATCACATTGCTCAGGCTGGTCTCAAACTCTTGGGCTCGAGCAATCCACCCACCTCAGTCTCCCAAAGTGCTGGGATTACAGGAGTGTGCCATTGTGCCCAGCCCATGCTAGGTAATTTTAAACCAGCAAAGAATGAGCTGGGTTTGACACAATGGACCTCACCTCTATGAGTCACAGACATGCCTTTTCCAATCTCAAGTTAAACCACATAGAAACTTCCTGTTTAGGAGGTAGTTGAAGTGAGAAGCAAAGTCAGGAAAGCATATAAAGAAAGGCTAAGCTTTCATTCATATCCTTGAATGAAAACAAGTCTGTTTGAAAAATGCATTAAAAATCTAATATTAAATCGTTTCAGTTCAGAAACCTTGCTCTACTGCACTTTAAATAAACCCCCCACTGTTGTTTTGGTTTTGTTTCCTTGACCTGGGTACCAGACTGTCTTGGGGACATGCCTGGACCAAGGGGCAAGTAAAGGAGGAAAGCTGTGGGAAGCCATTTTCTGAGCATCTAAGCAAAAATAGCTAGAGGCTTCCAAGTATAAACGAATTATGGATACTGATTAACTCCTTTAAGAACCTAAAAATATCCCAAGTAACAGAGAATAAATTGAATCAAACATACTTGCATTTTCCACCAAAACTTTGGGCATACGCTGGCGGTTCATCAGGAGTGGGAAAGGATCTCTTCCATCATTCCGTTCGTGGACCTCTCGAATTTCCACCGTATCATCCATAAGATAGTAATGAATAATGTAGGTCCGACATTCACCATACATGCTGTCTGTATCATCCCAGATTGCATAAAATCGAAGGACCTTTGAAGAATCCAAAGTAGTGACTCAAGAATCTTAAAAGTAGGGAGTTCAACTTGACTACTTTGGCAATTATGTATTAATGATGAAAAGATTAGCTGGAAAGACTATGAAGTAATTTCAGATGGGGTAAATTGAAAAAAAAAAAAGAAATATTCATCAAAGATACTAAAACATCTGAAATTATGTACCATATGTCAGCAGCCGGAAATAATTAAATAATAGGATTATAAGTTTGTGCCAGAAAAGAAGAGCTCATTTTGATCCAAAATATTAGTCAGTGAAAGAGAAGCTAAATTAAAAGAGCAATGAAGTTCTTTACATAGTGGTTTATAAATATTAATAAAGGTATATGTGAATATAGTATATATATAATTAGTATAGAAAAAATTTTTATTTATTAACCAGTCTTTTTTTGGTCCCATCAACACATATCTTCTAGCAATAATATAAACACAATCTTTTTTTTTTTTTTTTGCTAGGCTTCTTCAAATCATGGGAATAAACACAATCTTTAAATACAAAATAATAACAGATATATGACTGATATGAACAAAATCCTTAAAAGACCATGCTAGTGCTAGTTTACATTTTCTGAACTAAAAGGGGTTAAATGTCTAAAGAAAAGGAACAGCAAAGAAGCACTGAGGGTGATCTCTTCCTTTTCTCTCTCCCTTTAGTACAGAAAGGAAAGGATTTAAATCTGCTTATACACATCAGCTCACAAGGGAGAGGATTAGGAAGGTTGGAACGGAGTTGGAAAATGCTCAGAACATTCTGGACTCCAATATTAATATAACATATAACAACGAAGCATCTGTAGTGGGGTTTCTGTGAAATTAAACATTTTAACATTAGAACCTACATATATGCATATTTTTGAAATTTCCCAATAATCGATTTATGGTTTCCCAAAGGAGTCTATGAAATTAGCTCATTTTAAGGGAAAGAAATTGTCAATTGGAAACGTAAGGTGGGAAGCAGACGTAGCTCAGGAATTGTTTTGAGATTTAAATGTTTGGTGGGATTCACAAAACGACTCCGCAACTCCACAATCTTCTTTGGATCTCCATATGAAATGCAGGCATTCCTGTACCTGTAACCCTTGATGAAAGCAGAAAGACAGTACTGTGTCCCAACAGTTCAATTATAGCTGTAATGTTTCAAAATAGTTACCAATACAGCTACCCAAACCTTTTGCCAATAAGTATAGGTCACATTTGGAAATAAATAAGCCTACTGCAGTTCCTCTGTCACTTACCTGTTTGTCAAAGGTGAGAAATTGCTTGAGTTGATCAAAGTCTGATGGGGTGACATACTTACGAAGAGGCTGTTTTCGGAGTTCGGTGTAAGGATCAAGAGCCATCTTCTCTGGCGGATTTAATTCAATTCCTTGGCTTTCTAAAAATACCTAAATAATTGAAAGTTAACAATGATCATCTTTCTTAGAGCTTTTTAGAGTAAGTTATAAACTGATGATATAAAAATAAGTGTATGGGCCAGGCACTGTGGCTCAGGCCTACAATCTCAGCACTTTGGGAGGCTGAGGTAGGAGGACTCCTGAAACGCAGGAGTTCACAACCAGCCTGAGCAACATAGTGAGACCCTGTTTCTACAAAAAAATTTAAAAGTTAGACTGGTTTGATGGCATTTGCCTGCAGTCCAGGCTACTCAGGAGGCTGAAGTGAGTGTACCACTTGAGCTCAGGAGGTCGAGGCTGCAGTGAGCCATGATCATGACATTGCACTCCAGTCTGCATGACAGCAAGACCCTGCCTCAAAAAAAAAAAACAAAAAAAGAAAGAAAAAGCGTAATCATGATTTCTATGCCATTGCTCAAGTTAAACATTAGTTTGCTGCTTGAGCGCATGTAAGCTGTATTAAGTTTCCAACTGAGCCAACTCCATAATGCAGATAATAATCGGGAGTTACCTGAAGTATTTTATATTGTTATATTGCTAGGTATTTGCTAAGCTAGTTGGGATGCACAATGGCAAAGTAACTGTTTTCAAATATGAATTTAAATCAAATTTAGTTAGGTGCCTGTAACAGAGTAAGTCTTAGGATTGCTTACTTCCATATATCTGGAACCTAACCATGGTTTCAAACAATATGTAATTCCTATTAGGTCTGAAGGCAAGCTGCACAATGGCCAAGTTAGGCTGAAATCATATTCCCAATTTTCTAATTCACTTAAAACAAATACTGTATATGATTAAGTCCCTTCCCCTCACCAAAAAAGAAAAAAACAAAAGCATACCCACTGGTTATATTAGACCAGAAAACATTTTAGCAAAATAGGAAAGACAAACCAAGTGCTCAGATTTCACCAGACATTCCCGAAAGGGAAGTGAGAAAGCAAACAACTTGGAAAACATACTTCAGGATATCGTCCACAAAAACCTCCTCAACCTCACCAGAGAAGCCAACAATCAAATTAAGGAAATACAAAGAATCCCTGCAAGATTCTACACAAGGAGATCATCCCCAAGCCACAGAATCATCAGATTTTCAAAGGTCAAAATGAAAGAAAGAATGTTAAAAGCAGCTACAGAGAAAGGGCAGGTCACGTACAAAGGGAACCCCGTCAGGCTAACACTGGAAACTTCTCAGCTGAAACCCTACAAGCCAGAAGAGATTGGGGGCCTATATTCAACATTCTTAAAGAAGAAAAATCTTCAACCAAGAATTTCATATCTAACCAAACTAAGTTTCTTAGCAAAGGAGAAATAAGATCCTTTTCAAATAAGCAAATGCTGAGAGAGTTCATTACCACCAGACCCGCCTTATAAGAGATCTTAAAAGGAACACTAAATATGGAAAGAAAAGGCCATTACCAGCCAATACAAAACACACTTAAGTACACAGACCAGTGACACTATAAAGCAACCACATAAACACGCCAGCATAATAACCAGCGAACAACACAATGACAGGATCAAATCCACACATATCAATACTAAACTTAAATATAAATGGGGTAAAGGCCCCATTTAAAAGGCACAGAGGACAGGTATGGTGGCTTATGCCTGTAATCCGGTACTTTGGAAGGCAGAGGTGGGTGGATCACTTGAGGTCAGGAGTTTAGGACCAGCCTGGCCAACATGGTGAAACCCCGTCTCTGCTAAAAAATACAAAAATTAGCCAGGCATGGTGGTACACACCTGTAATCCCAACTACTAGGGAGGCTGAGGCAGGAGAATCACTTGAACCCATGAGGCAGAGTTTGCAGTAAGCTGAGATCACGCCACTGCATGCCAGCCTGGGTGACAAAGTGAGATTCTGTCTCAAAAAAAAAAGAAAAGAAAAGAAAAATAAAACTAAACAAAACTAAACAAAAAACTGAAAACAAAACACAGAATAACAAGCTGGATAAAAAGAGGAAGACCCAATGGTATGCTGTCTTCAAGAGCCCTATCTCACACCCAAAGGCTCAAAGTAAAGGGATAGAGGAAAATCTACCAAGTAGATGGAAAATAGAAAAAAGCAGGGGTTGTGGTCCTAATTTCAGACAAAATAGACTTTAAACCAACAAAGATCAAAAAAGACAAAGAAGGGCATTGTATAATGCTAAAGGATCCAACTCAACCAAAAAAAAAACCCTAACTATGCTAAATACATATGCACCCAACATAGGAACACCCAGATTCAAAAAACAAGTTCTTAGAGATCTAAAACGAGACTTAAACTCCAACACAACAGCAGTGGGAGACTTTAACACTTTCCTGACAGTATCAAACACATCATTGAGGCAGAAAATTAACAAAGATATTCAGGACGTAACTCAACATCGGACCAAATGAATCTGACCAACCTCTACAGAACTTTCCACCCAAAAACAACAGAGTATACATTATTCTCATCAGCACATGGCACATATTCTAAAATCGACCACATAATCAAACAGAAAACAATTCTCAGGAAATGCAAAAGAATCAAAATCATAACAAACACATTCCCAGATGACAGCATAATAAAAATAGAAGTCAAAACTAAAAAAAAAACAAAAAACACTCAAAACCATGCAATTACATGGACATTAAACAATCTGCTCCTGAATGACTTTTGGGTAAATAATGAAATTAAGGCAGAAATCAAGAACTTCTTTGAAAGTAATGAGAACAAAGATACAACATACCAGAATCTCTGTGACACAGCTAAGGCAATATTAAGACGGAAATTTATAGCACTACATGCCCATGTCAAAAAGTTACATGTCAAATTAACAACCTAATATCACAACTGAAAAAACTACAGAAGCAAGAGCAAATCAACCTCAAAGCTAGCAGAAGACAAGGAATAACCAAAATGAGAGCTGAACTGAAGGAAATCAAGACACAAAAAACCATTCAAAAGATCAATGAATCCAAGAGTTGGTTTTTATTGAAAAGATAGGCCAGTAGCTAGACCAATGTAGAAGAGAGAAGATCTAAATAAACACAATTAGAAGTAACAAAGGGGATGTTACCACTGACCTCACAGAAACATAAGCAACCATCAGAGAATATAAGGAACACCTGTATGCACACACACTAGAAAACCTAGAAGAGATGGATAAATTCCTGGACACATACACCCTCCCAAGACTGAACTAGGAAGAAACTGATTCCCTGAACAGACCAATAACAAGCTCTGAAATTTAATCAGTAATCAATAGCCTATAAATCAAAAAAGACCCAGAGCCAGATGGATTCACAGTTGAATTCTACCAGATATACAAAGAACAGCTGGTACTATTTTTTTTTTTTTTTTTTTTTTTTGAGATGGAGTCTTGCTCTGTCGCCCAGACTGGAGTGCAGTCACACTATCTCAGCTCACTGCAAGTTCCACCTCCCAGGTTCATGCCATTCTCCTGCCTCAGCCCCCTGAGTAGCTGGGATTACAGGTGCCTGCCACCACGCCTGGCTAATTTTTCGTAATTTTAGTAGAGATGGGGTTTCACTATGTTAGCCAGGATGGTCTCAATCTCCTAACCTCATGATCCACCCACCTCGGCCTCCCAAAGTGCTGGGATCATAGGCATGAGCCACTGCGCCTGGCCAAAAGCTGGTACTATTCTTACAGAAAATATTCCAAAAAGTTGAGGAGGAAGTATTCCTCTCTAACTCATTCTATGAGGCCAGCATCATTCTGATACCAAAACCTGGCAGAAACACAACAGAAAAAGAAAACTTCAGGCCAATATATTTGATGAAAATCGATGCAAATATACTCAACAAAATATTTGCAAACTGAATCCAGAAGCACATCAAAAAGGTAATCCACCACAATGAAGTAGGCTTCATTCCCAGGATGCAAAGTTGGTTCAACATACACAAATCAATAAATGTGATTCATCACATAAACAAAACTAGAGACAAAAACCACATGATTATCTCAATTGCTATAGAAAAGATTTTGGATAAAATTCAGTATCCCTTAATGAGAAAAATTCTCAATAAACTAAGTAGGAGAGGTTCCAAGATGGCCGAATAGGAACAGCTCCAGTGTGAAGCTCCCAGTGTGAGTAACGCAGAAGACGGGTGATTTCTGCATTTCCAACTGAGGTACTGGGTTCATCTCACTGGGGCTTGTCAGACAGTGGGTGCAGCCCATGGAGCAGGGCAGGGCATCGCCTCACCTGGGAAGTGTAAGGGGTCAGGGAATTCCCTTTCCCAGCAAAGGGAAGCTGTGACAGATGGTATCTGGAAAATCAGACACTCCCACCCTAATACTGTGCTTTTCCAATGGCCTTAGCAAACGGTACACCAGGAAATTATATCCCGTGCCTGGCTCGGAGGGTCCCACGTCCACAGAGCCTCTCTCACTGTTAGCAAAGCAGTCTGAGATCAAACTGCAAGATGGCAGTGAGGCTGGGGGAGGGGCGTCCGCCATTGCTGAGGCTTGAATAGGTAAACAAAGCAGCCAGGAAGCTCGAACTGAGTGGAACCTACTGCAGCTCAAGGAGGCCTGCCTGCCTCTGACTCCACCTCTGGGGGCAGGGCATAGCTGAACAAAAGACAGCAGAAACTTCTGCAGACTTAAACATCCCTGTCTGACAGCTTTGAAGAGAGTAGTGGTTCTCCCAGCATGGAGTTTGAGATCTGAGAACGGACAGACTGCCTCCTCAAGTGGGTCCCTGACCCCTGAGTAGCCTAACTGGGAGACACCTCCCAGTAGGGGCCAACCGACACCTCATACAGCCAGGTGCCCCTCTGAGACAAAGCTTCCAGAGGAAGGATCAGGCAGCAATATCTGCCATTCTGCAATATTTGCTGTTCTGCAGCCCTCCGCTGCTGATATGCAGGCAAACAGGGTCTGGAGTGGACCTCCAGCAAACTCTAACAGACCTGCAGCTGAGGGTCCTGACTGTTAGAAGGAAAACTAACAAACAGAAAGGACATCTACACCAAAACCCCATCTGTACGTCACC